TTTGAAAAGAGGCAACGGGAATGTGGAAGCTTGAGTAGAGCCGCATGCCTCTGATTAATCAGCTTCTTCACCGTGTAATTCAAGGCGTGCAGAGCACGCTGGGCAACAAACCGAGAATCTGCGTTTTTCAGGTGGCCTTTGTGGCTAAGTGAAGCTGGAATTCTTGGAGCAGGCTTTCGGGAAGAAATTCCCGTCGTCAAGGGATTAAGAGATTGTTGCTTTAATAGGGTGAGTCCTAAGTGGATGGAAAAAAAACAGCAAATTTCAAACATTCCATCAAAAAATTACAACTTGTCAAAGAACAGATGCTTATTGGCTGTGCAGCAAATTTCATTGGCTTAGACAAACTGAAAAAGGAACTCCAACAACTTCCACAAAAATTTAATGAGACAGGAAGGTTTGTTAATGCTATGAACTACAGACAGAAATAGTTGAGAAATATACCCTCCCCCCACCTCAAAAGGGTCCTGATTAGAAACAAAATGTAAGCAAAATAAGACTGTCCACCAAAATGTCAAACAGGAACAGTGGCAGTTTTAAAGCTATTCCGATTAATCTGAAAGCCAAGTTCACAATTTTGCAGAAACCCATTCAAATGACAAATAAATGTATGGTAATGCAATAGAATGTGCATCAGTGGATCAATGGGAATGCCTTGTCACAATGCTGGCACCTACAGGAGAGTGTACCAGGGATACTGAGATCCCTACAACTGCAAGTGTTGTTCAGCTGGTTAGCAGGTAAATACATGTACGTTGCAGATTTATTTAAGTAATGATTATTAATGAATTGGAAAGCTGAAGATGAGCTTTGCATGCACAGTTGCTGACACCTGTTAACTACAAAACACGGAAGCAGTTACTGGCAGAGGATTTGTTAACAGCATATCAGAGTAAAGAAACGATTAGTAAGCTTGGAGTTGAGCAGCCATGATCTACATGTGCTGTGATCCATCTCTACATGTAAAACATCCCTGCATTAGTTAATGGTGCATTCCTGTCACCACTTTCAGCCAATCACAGCACTGTGCCTGGTTTAGTGTGCCATAGGTTGATGGGTGTAGTTCTGACAGAGGGGTTGATCTCTCTAGTTGTGAAGAACGGAGAGTACAAACCTACAAAGGCTGCACTGAAGATGACAGTGAAGACAAAAACAGCAGCCTAGTTTCTTGTCAAGGGAAACTTCATCACCGCTATCGAAGGCATGTCTGGAGGAAACAATCACAACACAATGACAGCCACATGACAGAAAGAAACAACAGAAGAAAAGAAAGCCGTGTTCCCACTGGACATTTTTTGGTCAAACTTTAATACCGTGACAATGGTTACTTTTTCCATTTTAAGTCCAGTGTAGACATACTAGGAAGTTTTCCACTTGGTTACTTTTACTGAGCTGCACGGTCATTTCTACCGGCCAACTTCTGCCCAGGAAAAATTACCAAGAAATATTTCCCGAGACTGAAAGTTGAGTTTGCACAGCATAAATCAGTAAAAGCACAGGAAAGTGGCCGGTAGAGCGCACATCCAGCCAAAGCACAATGGTATGTTTCTCACAGGGAAACTACGCATGCGTGTTGCACGTTTCATTGCGGTATGGAATGTGGCGCACATTTCCTGCACATTTTTCCCTCTTTTGGTCACAATCATGCCAGATATTGTTATTGACACTGTTGGAAGATTAACTGCTGTTAAGAGTGCACCATTTCCAGATGATAATGAGGACAGTAACATTGTGTTTAAGGATGAAAACAAATGCAAAAAGGTCACGCAAAGCACCCTTCACAAGTCACTGCATTATCAGCTCAGTTACTTTTCCCGCAGTCTCGGTATAATTTTCCTGTGTTGAAGGTCCAACTGCAGACAGTGGTCACATTTAACCATTTCTCATTTGACCATCAGCTTGGTAAAACCCATGGGCAAAAAGTCCATTGCAAACACAGCTCTAATGCAACAGCTTCATTAATTCTTTTAGCAGCAGTCACATACACCGGTATGCGTATCTCATTGTATTGTATTGATTCATAAATAACTACATGTGCTATAATTTCATCATTTAAACTGGTCAAGAGCTTGTTGTGTAGGTGGTTTGAAATTGCCAGTGAAATACTGAGATTATGAAATACTATGTTCTCTGCCTCATCATGTAATATGCACTTTGCATGTATTAATCACAATATATTTAGCACCTATGCAAAAAACTAATAGGACCATACATGGGCCAAAAACATAACTTCACAACATTTAAAGTAAAATGGTGTAACAATATTATTTGAAATTTATTAATTCTTGGCTTGTTTTGTATTTTAACCAAAACAGGTACATGTAAATGATAGAAAAAGTATTTAAATAACAAACTTAAAACTGCTGCAACATTATTTTTGCCTTAATCAAAAATTATGCATACGTTTATGTACATGTAGCTAGCCAAACTACAGACTTTGTGTATGTTCGAACTCAATAGATAATTACACACAGACATCTGTAAAAGCATTTTGCAATTCAATAGACAATTAAAGACAAAAATCTGCAAGAAAACTTGAAGTGTAACCTGTAATACTACTGGAATAATGTAATGTTGCTAGACAGATCAAACTTGAATATCTGCATGGTAAGGCCAGTAATACATGTAATAAAAGGTACAACTGTAATTGTACATGTACATGTGCCTTGATACCATGTGCACTTGTGTGATTTTATGACAACAGGTTTTGAATGTGCTGAACAGCTACTGTCTCCATTATCATCAGTCTCTCCCAAATAAGACATAGCATATTCTTCCAAACATAAGAGTAATCAAAGGCTTTTTTCTAAACATTGCCAACTCACAAAAGAATGTCATTGTCACAGGGCCTTACTACAAATATACACTTACGCTTAACAAATTGGAATTTTTCACATTAAATGCACACGTGTTGAACACTACTTGTATATAATACAGTACATGAAATTAGGAGACTCCAAGACACTTGAAATGTAGCTGACATGCGTTGAAGAGATGTGGATAACAGTCATGTGACATGCTGTGCTTCTCACTGACAAGATCTATGCATGCAAAAACTACAAAAAAAATTCCAGACACAGTGCACTAATGAAGCATATCCTTCATGGCTCCTCTACACTACGCTGTGATGTGCATACTGGCTCATGTCTAAGCATCTTTTGTATCCTGTCTAAACAAAACCTTAATTAAGTCATGTGTATGTGCCACAATAACCTCCAGAAGCAAAAACCAGTATCTTTTCATTTCAAATGCAAAGTGAGAAGAGGGAGAGTGAATGTATTCAATAATGGAGTACATGTATGTGAGCAAACCATAACTGCTTGCCTATCAAAAATACCATTTTTTTATACTAAATTATTTTGCAAAATATTACTCTTACACATTGATTTGTTTTGATCCTTTAATCAAGCATGCAACTTGGACTTTGACAAAAGATGAAATTTCAGTCTTTACAAGACTCTGTACATTATTTTCCAATTTTTAATGGCATAAGTGTGAAGTGAAAACAAGGAAATCAATTGATCTGAGGAAAAGTTGTGTGCCTGTTTAATGCATGAGCTGAAACCTTTACCAGCAATCCACCTTTCTAATATCGTGTACTTCCACAATGTTTACAAATCAGAGCATATAAGTGCACATGCAGGACGGTCCCTAATAATACTGGTAGCAGAAGCATTGGGAAACCATTGATGGCAATCACTTTTATACACTAACTGGCAAAATCCCTCCACAAAGAGGACTTTCTGATACACACCAATCACATGCCCAAATTTGTCAATAGGTGCAAAATGTAGGCATTTTATTGTTCTGTAATATTGTATGTCTTATAGCGTGATTCTACAATTTACATCCATGTCTTTGTCAGAAGAAAAAGAAGAAAACATTAAAAGCCTGATTTACTAACCATTGCCTGCAGCACATGTAAAAAAAACGTGGGTCACACTGGTTACAGACAAGCATGTCATGGGCAAAGCTGAAGCTGCAAGATGTCTGTCAGACAGTTGGTTATACAACCAAGGCTTTGAATGGTCCAAACATTATGGGGCTGGCGGAACCCTAACAGTCCCAAATCCTCCAATTTCAATACGATTTTATATACACCCTTGGGGGTTAGGATTAACCCTAACAGTCCCAAATCCTCCAATGTCAATATGATTTTACATACACCCTTGGGGGCTAGGGTTAACCCTAACAGTCCCAAATCCTCCAATTTCAATACGATTTTATATACACCCTTGGTTAATGGACTGTCCCTGTTTTCTTGTCCAAAAATGATGTTGGTTACAATAGGTGGTACTGTTTTCACATTTTCACATACCCCTGTGCTGTTTTTATTGTTGTGGCATGGGAAATGCATATGAACTGTTCACTCTAATAAGGCATGCACCATCACTCATAATGCCGACGGTTGCTTTATGCCAACTTGCACATGAAGAGCACTGCAGTTTCTGTAATAAAAGTGCTGTATTAAAAACAACATACACGTACATGCGTCTCCCTTGATGTAATAAAACAACTGGAATCAATTATGTAAATGATACAGAGAATGAGAGAGCACAAGGTGCTTGGGTGCTTAATGACATTACACTGTATGTCATGTAATATTCTCAGCAATACATGCACACAATGAACCAGCATGATAACTATTGGTTTCATCAAACTATGTGAAAAGTTTTAAAACTTCAAGAAAATGCACATACTGTCCAAAATATGAGAATGTATTAAATTTTAAAAGGTCAAACATTTAATTGCAATCACATGACACAATCACTTGCATAAAAAATGTAACATGCTTCATTTCATAAAACACAAAAAAGAGCAACTTCTGCAGTAAAAGTACCCATAACTGAAAAGAAGGTTTCAAAGAAAAACCCACTTAGAAAACCTTCCTTTCAAATAATCATCGACCGGTATCACAATTTCACCCAACTAATTTCTGCCAAATTTCACTTATAGGTGTGTTCAATTGTACCAAGCCGGACACCGAGTCTGTCGAGTGAAGTGGGGAAATACCGGTACATGTAGTGAACTCTTTATAAAAACATACTTTCTTGACTCCTAGGATAGATGTAAAGTAAAGACAGGTTGGTCAGAGATATCTGTTGAGTTCATGGCTCACCCACTCTACCCATACATGTACATGTAAATGTATCACTACATTATCCAACACAGGGGACATATGTAGGTGACAGTCAGTTAACTTGATTGTACATGTACATGTATGTAGAACCATGTTACTTGAACATATACGTAAGCTGAGTTCAAATCTAAATTTCTTTTTTTCGAAGTTGTAGTAATTGGTTGTATTCGGCAGCATATTTCTGGGTCACAAAATGAGGAATGTGACGGACTTACATGCATGGGGTGCATTCACGTGGTTACTCCTGTTAAAATGAGCAGGATGCATGGGCATTACACTCGGGTGCAGGAGTATACTCCCCCTCTAGCGAGAGTATACTCTCACTGACCCGCGGGTCGTACTCCAGCCATTCGAACGCTCAGGAGTATACTCGTATTAACAAAAGTAGCTTGCTCTAACGCACCCACTGAGAGTGTGTACTGCCTGAGGGATCTGAAATATGCCACAGGAATTCTTTGCTCCCTGATCTACACAACGACTCTTTAACAAAAGATTGATGCTTTTGAAATTTAACCACATGTTTCACTGACATATTTTGTCGGAAAATTTTAAGGTTTATGATACGCATCAGTATTTGCTAGGCACAGCAATCCTTGAAGATAAACCATTGCACATGGAAAAATGTAATATGTGCAAAGAACAAATTCCCAGGGGCAGATCTAGGATTTTTCAAAGGGGGGAGGTCAGGCAAGAGATTTTTTAAATGTCTCAGTTTTGCAGAAAAGCAGACACGATGATGAAATATTACATGACATACACTGTTTACCATGGCCATTGTGCACTTACTTCAGTTACACATGTATTGGTATTTTTATTATTTTTTCCCATTGTTAACCTTTTTTGTTTGTTGGAGCTGGGGAAGGGATTCCAGACACCCCCCCATTCGCGCCTGATTCCATTTATACTTTGCTGTTCTAACCACCTTAGTATATGGCCATCAAGAAACACAAGCAAAAACTGGAAGCAAGGAAGTGTGAAACTTACCCACATCTGGCACAAACAAAGCAGAATTTATGATAGGTGTCTCCTAATGCAGTAACAACTTCCCCTTCTAGGTATTCACCACATGCTTTACACTTGGTACCAAACTGATCTTGGTAATCAGTGGCACAGTAGAACTTGCCATCCTTGGTGAAGAAGCCACCTTGGGAGAGAGAACTTGCACACACTGCAGGATAAACAAATTAAGGCAGGAAATATACACTGAGTGATCAGTTTGAATCAGTCAGCACAGGATCATTTTGCACAATCAAGATATGTTCGTTAGTACCCCGCACGGTTTGTCCATAATTCAACTTGAATGAAGATGATTCTGCTTTTAAATTTATGTACATTAATTTTTACTTTCCAATAGCAATAATGCTAAATGCAACTGTTGGAACCAAGAAAAACATTAACTTCACATTTTAACCAATTAAAAAAATGAACACATAACATCAACCCTTAGTGTCACCTTAATGGCACTTGTAAATGGTACTGCATCCTTCACAACCATGTGGTGGACTGTATTTAGGGGAGTTGAAATCTAGGCAAGTGATGACAAAGACATGGCTTGACACTGTCAAACACGAGTGGCATTCCACACAGTGCTTGATAAAAAATACTTATTCAAAGAGGGGTGGATTTCTTTTTTCATTAATTAAACAATTTGACCTCACTTGACTGTTTTTTCTATAATAATTTATTACATTTACTTCATGAGACTTAGAAAAAAAATCAACATTCTCTGAACGTAGGTCAGAAACACATTTCAACTAAAACTTTTCTTTTATTCAATGGATGGGGCAGAATTCCTTGCATCTCTTTAAAGGGTAGCAGCTATGAATTTTTCTTGGACAGAGTTTTTCTGCAACTCTGTCTTCTTCTCCAACATATGAACAATCTTTTACACTCCTATCTGGTTAAATGCACTGAAATGAGCACTTTTTTAAAAACATAAAAATTATGCATGCTTTCCTGGACAACTAAGGGCGCTGTTGCTGTGATGTCATCCAGGGAAAACACAGTTCATTGCAAAGGGTTTTGTATTTAAATTGTGAACCGTGAATTTACTAAATGAAAACATTTCTCAGAAAAGTACTGATGCTGCCGACTGTTATGCACATAAACAATGAATTAGCAAAGAAGAAAAAATTTACAGTAGCCCAGCAAAACCTACAAAATTGCAGGACGTTTAAGAGTACAAACTAATGTAACATTTAGGCTTTCTTCCTGGAATTACATCACAGTTTTTCTTATGAACATAGAAATACTCAGCATAAAAACCAAAAGGCAGCAAAATACCCTTTGAAACAGAGACACAAAAGTTGAAAAAGAGGTTAACTGAGATACAAGGTACATGTTGAATGTTTGTATTAAAATAAATTCATTCCAGCTACCCTTTTAATATAAGCACAAAATACAGTATATTGTTGAACTCCAAGGGCCACAGAGAACCAATGCTCACCAAGTTCAGATCCAGAAAATGAACATCTTCAAAATTGTGAGTGCTTTTATGACAACACAGACCTAGTAATGTCACAAGAGGTGTAGGCCTACAATATCTACAATTATGGATTTAAACTTGTGATTCTTACAGGCTCGGGACAAAACAAAAAAGCTTGCTTTTAAAGTGAATACACAAAAACACTGACAACAAATGTAAAATCCAAAGTTACTGCAAGGATTGGGATAACTAGATTGGTACAAAACTTGGGCTGCTGATTTTTTTTAGCCTAGTTTAACAATTCAGCAAATGATGCCCAAAGTATGTGCTGGAAGTATGTGGACGACTCAACTCTTGGCGAAAATAGACTCATCAGTAAAGCTAGTGAGATACAGAGTGATCTTAACGATCTGAGTAAAAGGGCTGTTGAGAAAGCTCTTCATGTTAAGGAAATTTAAAAAAAGTGTGGCCTAACTCATGCTGAACTCGTTCTTGTATACAAAGGATACATCAGACCTGTTTTAGAATATTCAGCTCCCTTGTGGCACTCTGGAATTACATGTTCTCAATCTGGTAACTTAGAATCAATCCAGAAAAGGGTATGTCACATCATACTTGACCGATTGTACACTTATTACGGCCAGGCCTTAAATGTCCTCGGACTTGAAACACTTCTTATTAGAAGAATTGATCTGTGTACTAAATTTGCTCAAAATAATTGTAATTCTGATAGCCTTAATGTGTGGTTTAATAAATCCCAAAGTTATCACAGGATGCACCTTAGATTACAAAGAATTCTTCAAGAATTCACCTGCAAAACTAAACGCTTCAGCAACAGCCCACTCCCTTATTTCACAAAACTTATAAATTCATCTTTTTAACTCTCGTCATCTGTCTCCTATGTTTTGTCATGTATCCCTGTCCTTTTTAACAAACATGTAGGTTTGTTATGTAAATTCCACTACACAATCATCTTTTTGTGTTTTTTTCTTTGCTTTAAATGTCTTTTATATCATTATGTAAATTGAAATTTAAGCTGAACTGTGTATGCTGTTTAATGTTTTTTTATCTATGTAACCCGTTTTAAATTCTGTTGTAGACCAGCAATAATAATAATAATCATAATTTTATTATGGGCCAATGAAACATTGTCTTCTGTAATGAAACAAACACCTAATCTGATATATGATACAGCCAATTTTAATAATTGCTCTTACATTCAAACCAATGAAAGAAACACAAAAAAAACCTATAAAAAATTCATTCTGCGATGTTCACTACATGTGTAACACATACGAGTATTTTCTATGGCAATTAATGAATGCTCTGAGCACACAGTCCAGGTAAGAAAGTTATAATTAGGTTTCATTAGAAAAATAATGATTACCTTTGTTAAACAAATATGGGTAAATAAAAATAAACAATCCCATCATATCCAGATTGTGAAGAATAACTAATACAGTCCTTACTATTCCAAGGCAGTTCGATTGTTTGATTGTGTGTAGCTGAGATCAGAGAATCATAAACATTTCTGTCTGTGAGAGACACTCTGAAAGTTGCAAGTTCATTTCCAAATCTGAGGTCAGAGCAAGATATACAACCAATTAGCAGGCTTCCCTTTTTAAAATAATTGCTTCCAATTTTGTAACTCTAATATAATATATAATATACAAGGGCAATTGTCATTATAAACAAGAAGAAGTAAAAAATAACTCAAACTAGTATTAGACACAGCCTCCTTGGCTACAGTTTCAAAAGAACCAATTGCACAATCATGCATTATGTGCATTTTCAACTGCTAGTGTAATTGGCAGCTGTATATTTACTATAGCCCCATTTGAAGAATAAAGTGATTGAAAATGTGTCCTTTGAGCCTAACGGGGGTGTATCAATGACACCTGTACTTCATTTCAGCTTTCAATGGGGGATCTACACTGCTTGAAGTCATAATACTCATAATAGATCAACTAAATGTGCAGCAATCATAAAGTACTGTACATGCATGTGGCTGGTAACAGCTGTAGCTGGATTGAATTGTAATATCTTGCTGTTCTGCAAAAGAAATGCCACGGTCCCTGTTTGCTTCAATCCTCGCCTTTAGGGCACCCTTTTTATGTTCTATGGCTCTCATATCTTTTTCAAATTGAGGGAAGGTCAGTTGGTTAAAAAATTATTCTTGAAAAAAATGTCATGCTGCTGCAATATAGATGACTGAATAAACAAGGCAAAGTGTGCTATGTATACTTGTCACTTGTTAATAGACAGAGTACCATAATGAGTGTCTTTGTTTCCGAGTACAGAGAAATATTTTAGTGACACACAACACAATACCTCAGTTGAGTCAGTGTCAAGACACCATACATGATCGTGTGTGCAGTGTGTGTGCATGTATGTTTTTGTTTTTCCTATGTCCCTCCGTACATGTTTAAATGCAGTGCATTGGGCGTGGTACATTACCGCTCAGTCTGGTATAAATGCCATATCATGGATTTTGACTGTCGTTGAGTTCGGGCAAAATCGTATTGCACATTTACATGTTTAGTGCGTATTTGTACAGGTCATCACACCCTACTTTTCACAGGCAAGGTCCTCTTAGCAGGGTCAGAAGAGAAAAAGGAATTTTTTTCAAGGTTGGGAACCAACCATAGAATTTTAAGAGGGTGCCCTTATGAAGCCTCAAACCTAACAAGGTCGTTGAGGGATTTAGAGTGTGTGTGTATTTAGTGACTATCAGTGTGTCACAAAAAGGGAACAAAATGGACAAAAGGGAAAAGGGAGACACTAACCCAGAAAACCAACAACAAAGCCAAGGCTACGACTGCCATACACGTATATCATCACAGGTTTCAAATGTTTTTGAAATATTTTAAAAATGTACACAAAAAGCAATGCGGAACACTTTTTCCAAGATAGGATTGGCACAAATGGATAAACCCACACAAGTTCTTGCTATTTTCGCCTTTAGTAAAAGAGATGTCATTGAGCCTGGTGTGACTTGGAATATCTTTCTCGCAGCCTGACAATCACAATTCGTTTGTACATTACAGCTGCATATCTTGCTTTCATGATGTGATGAAATGTCCACTTCGTCATCAACAATGTCGTGACATTTTTAAGTGTACAGTAAAGACCTATAGTTTTAAAGTGACTGTTAATTAATTTTAATGCTAAAAATTGTGTGTAAACACACCAAATGTTGATTGTCATAGCCACAGTATCATTTATTTATCAGTTACATTCTAAAGCTGTAAGTTGGGACCTGTTTTTCAGCAGTTTTTACCTATTTTGTATGTTTTGGTGTTTTGTTAATCTTTGCTATTGCACTGACATATTTTCAAACACTTTTACCTAGTAAGTGGTTTCAATTCCTGTTTTTTAATGTAATTGAAGTAGTACTTCTTTGTAATGCACATTTGGTCATTATCAATTTGAATTTATCATTATTAAAATGCTACCTTCCACATCATTTTCATTACGAAGGTGTAGAATCTTGCACATATACGAGTGAAGGGCACAAACCACAACAGACCCTTTCTGCAACTTCTCACTCTGACAAAAAAAACTCAAAGGACCTTTATAATTTCCTTTTGACAACTTCATCTTTCTGACTTATTGGCACAACATAACAAAACTCCAAGGCAGTCAATAATAATCAAATGTCTCTCACATTTCTCACAACATAAATTTGTTGTCCCTGGTCTATACTTCTTTCAACTTGAAAAACTCAAACATTTATTGATAGT